ATGCACAAGGGAACGTTATTTGAATAATATTTTATGTTATTTGAATTTCTTTTAATTTTTTATAATGTTATTTTATTAATTGAAAAATAATTGAATAATACTCTACATAGCTATATAAGAAGTGGACTAATTTATTTATATCTCCCGTTGAGAAAATACTAAAATTTTCTTATCATACCATCCGCATCAGTAGCTACAATCAATCTAATATATACATGTTTTATTTACCCGTCGCACTCATTAAATCTATAGACACAATAATAACCTTATATTTGACCTACCAGAACATATATTTTCCTAAGTTAAGCATTGTGCCAAAAACTATATATTATATAATAGTCAAATATATAACCAACAACTGATTAAATATAGTATACGACACAAATACTTCGTATATAGGTATGGATACTGATAATTTTATATAAATAAAATATACGGAGTATATATTACTAAGATTTATCCCTAACTTAATTATAAAAAGGTTAACAAAACTCTTATAATAGTGCATGAACATTTATATATCTAAAAATGTTCTTTTTACATATATTTTCCCCCATTTAATTTTAAATACCTTAAAATTGTCTCTTGAATTCGCTAAATTAATTTAAAAGGTTATGTTTATTTCAATATTTAAAGCCATTTACTATTTTCATTTCCTTTTGTTTTAATTTTTCTATTTAGAATTTATTAGACTATTAGATTTCAAGATCGAAGTCAATATATTTTTACCGTACAATCACTAAATCAAAGTCGCTCAACTAAAGTTTTGGACAATGCATAGCTACACAACATCCAACACATTTAATGATTACATGCAAATTTTTTTAATAAAACTACGCATTCGATATAAGTTATTAAACAATTTAATTATATATACATTTTGATAGGTTTATATCTTTCATATTAACAAAAATTTACAAATGTTATTATTATATTTTGAAAAAAAAATAAAATAGACTTTGGAGTTTTGTATAAGATATATAAAGGATAAGTTAATTCCCGTCATATATGCATTGAGTTTTGGGTGTTCTATTCGGTTCACCCTTTGGGCTAATCCAGATTTGAGGATCAGTTCTAGGTTTTTAGGTTCCACTCCCCTTCCGATTGTTGTTGCAGGGGAGCACACAGGTCCTCCTTACCAAGTGTAGTCTCAATCACCACTACACCAACAACCAATTGGTGTAGTGGTGATTGTGACTACACTTGGTATGGAGGACACGTGTTATAAAATATTATATTATATACATATACTTTTTTATATTATAAAAATTATATTATATACACATACTATTATAGTTAAAAGTATTATTATGTATAAAACAATATAAATTATTGCACATGATTGTTGTATATCTAGTATAGTACATGAGCAATGCACGATTTTTAAATCAAAATGTTAGTTTTTCTAAAAAAAATTCATAAGTAATAGCATTGTTAATACGAATATTACAATTTAAAACATGAGTAATAGTTATAATACATTTTATATCTATCCCTTTTCCGTCAAATGCCTATTCAATTTAACTTTTATTCCTCTTGTTTAGATTGGTTATTGGTTCAGTTTTTTTTTTAATGCAAGAAAAACAAAAGGTCATTGTAAAAGACATTGTATAGAAAATGAAAGGCCGATTAAAATTAAATTTATGTTCAAGATTATGTATTTTTTTTCCAAGACAACATTTCGGCTCAGCATTCAGTATTTGTCAAGGAGTACAACAAACGATAAAAGTAATTTTTACACTATTTTGTATCTTTATCAAAAACTTTTGTATTCTCCGATTACTTGAATTGAATTTAGGATAACTTGTAGACTATTTTGAGTAACTTTTATCAATAAAGTATAAATAACTTTCATTCATTACATGGTAGCTTTTATAATAGGTGCACAATATTTTATTGTACATCTGATTTTTTTTAAATGTTTGAATTGATTTCATAATTGACGTCAAACTAAATATTATCGATTTTATTTAATTTTCATAAAAAAAAACAATATTAGCATTTCAAAATACGAAATATTTGTTTCCTTAATTATGCCACTTTAATCATATTGCTTCAAATTAGTTATTATTCTTTAACTTAACTATAAATAAAGATTGGAAAGATTTTATGGATTATTTGTAGTATTGGAAAGTATATATTTATTATAAAAAATTAAATCAATATTTATGTTAGGAAATCATGAAAATCTTAAGCATGTATAGAAACTTGCTTTTATTGTTTGAAGTTTAACAAAAATAACTATGCTTAAATATGTAAATATGTAAACAGTAATTATATAGATATATTTTATACATAAGATAAGCCAATGAGAGAGTGACAATTGTCATCCTCACATCAAGGCGCTTGTCTTTTAGTATGATATTTTAGGATGATTGTATTGCTTATTATTATTATTTTTAAACAAATCAATTCATTAATAGATTTAAAGGTGAATAGTTAAAAATCTAAAATTTTATAACATGTTAACTATATTAATCCCATATAGTTACATGAAGCTATATTTTTTAAAAAGTAATTGAAAAGGTAAATGATTCTTAAGTCTTCCCATTTTAGGAAAAGACCAATAGAAATCTAGACATCCCCCTATCTCTAATTCTCAAGGAAAGACTAATTGATCAAAGGAAAACAAATCTGTAGTTTGTACCTAAACTAAGGGGCCGTTTGGTTGGGGTTAATAATCAAAGGGAAAGGGAATGAACATGCTTCATTCCCTTTATTGATGTTTGTTTGTCACATTTAATCATTCCCTTTACCCAATTTTATTTTTGACTTCACCCAAAATCCCTCTACATTGATTCCCCATCCCCCCTAGACTTTTCCATTCCTTTTCCCTAGCCACCGCACATCGAGCCCTACCCCGGTCAACGCCGCACCGCCCCTGTTCGCACCACCAGCCACGCACCGCCCCTGTTTGCACCACCAGCCACGCACCGCCCCTGTTTGCACCACCAGCTACACACCGTCCCTGTTCGCACCATCAACTACGTCGCACCGCCCCTGTTCGCACCACCAGCTACGTTGCACCGCCCCTGTTCGCACCACCAGCTGCGTCGCATCTCCCTCGTCGCACCACTACCTACGTCGCACCTCCCTCATCGTACCTCTCTCGTTCTCATCGCCCCTGTTCGCAGTCTTCGCACCGCCCCTGTTCACACCGCCTCTAACCCTCGTCGCACCTCCCTCAACGCACCTCCCTGTTCATCGCCGATAATTAGGGTTTTTGTGGGGTTTCAGATGATGAATAATTAGGGTTTTGATGAGTGGGTGGAGGTTTTTCGGGGAGGAGAGAGGTGGTGGAGGTGCGACGGGCTCCGGGGGATGCCGACAATGTGGTGGCTGGGCGGTGGGGTAGCTGAAGAAGTGGGAAAGTGAAGGAAAAGGGGGTTTTGTGGTGGTGTTGGTGGTGGTGCTATGGTGGTGGTGATTCCTTTGGTTTTTGTAAAACAAACATGTTATATGGAATGGGTTTCATTCCATTCTCTTTGAATCCCTTTGTTCATTCCATTCCGTTTACCCCGTGCGAACCAAACGACCCCTAAATACTAAGCTTCTAAAAGAAGCTACTACTAAAACAAAAACTTTCTAGTGTAATGAAATTAAGAAGTCATCTGAACTTATTGGAGCTGAATTGAACTGAATTGAATATTTTATGAGAGAATGAAATTAAGAAGTGAACCAAAATGAATTGAACTGAACTTATTGAAGCTGAATTGAATTGAACTGAACTGAACTGAAAATAAACTGAAGAGAACATGCCGGTAGAGTTACAATCAATCACCAAAACAAGAGCCCAATTTGAAGGGGAAAAAATTGAATACAAACAAGAAATGGGATGAATAGTCAATACAAAAAATCCAAAGTAAATTAGACATCTAACAAAGTTATAGATAAAAAAAAAATGTATATATTTTTGATTGAATTATGCAAATATTTGTATAGTAATTGAATAGAGGGCCATGTATATTTAATATTTGTTAAAACATAAACAAACATTAACTACTTTGGAATATCTATTTTGATTAAGTTGCTTTTCATTCAATAGAATTTTGAAATAGTTTGTATTAAACAGTACTACCTCCGTCCCCGACAGAACGATCCATTTGGATTAATTTTAGTCCCAAAAAGAATGACCCATTTGCATTAAAACACCCACCAATTTGCAACAATATTTGTGCAAAATTAGCTTCCCCATATAAAAATTTGATTTCCATGTAATTTTATTACTTTCTCTCTCTATTTTTGTACAAATCCCATATAAATTTATCTTTTCAATATACTTTTACTTCTTTTTATTTAACTTTCTTAATACCCGCGTAATCAACCCAAATGGGTCGTTCTTTCGGGGACGGAGGGAGTATATAGTTATTCTCATACATCTAAAGTAAAATTATTTTGTAGATGTCAATGTCCTAAAAGTAGAGAATGAATGAGATTTGTTGCTGATGAGAATTGAACCTTACACTTCAAGGATGCAAGGTGACCTTGTGCCATTGGTCTATTTAGGGGTGTCCATTCGGTTTCGATTTGGATTTAGCCCAAATCCAATCCTATCCGAAATAAATTTTGGTTTTTAATTTTCAGATCCAATCCGATCCGAATTCCTTACCAAATCCAATCCGAATTATAATTCGGTTATTTGGATCCAATTCGAAAATTCGAATTAAAATACGTTGCTATTTTTTTTTTGGGTCTAATGCGATTATCAAAATAAAATTCAATTCTTGAAAGTAGTAGTACATGATTTTAACAAGTAGTGAAACATACAGTACGAGTATTTATTTTTTTATTTTTTTTTTTTGTTTTGTAAAATAACGCTTTCATAATTTGATTATTCCGATTTTTTGGATCCGAATAACGTCAATCCAATCCGATCCGAAAATAAGAATTTCAAAAAAATTCAATCCAATCCAATTTAATCCGATTTAAAATTAGATCCGATTTGAATTGATACTCAATTTAATTTGGATTGAATTGCGGTTTTTATCCGAATAATGGACACCCCTAGACCTATTGCACCAAGAGGTCCCCCTCAATTAAATTGCCCTAAAAGAGTAGAACAGTCCTTCACTCCTTCATAAGTTCACGGGTTACGTGCCTACGTCTTTAATTTAAAAACTTCCAATACAAGAATCTTTGCTTTTCAGTTCTTCCTCCTATTTTTCAACATTCACCCGCCATTTCAAAACCCTAACCTCTATCCACCATTAACGTTCATTCATCCTTCTTCAATTCTCCCAATTTTTCCAGAAATCTCAATTCACCTTCATAATTATCAGAAAAATACTCTTTCATCTCCAACAATTCCTCTTTTTCTTCATCCGAAAATCTGTACAACATTATCAAAATTCAAATCAAATCAAATCAAAGCGTCGAAAAAATGCCGATTAATCTGACGAAAAATTCTCTTTCAGCAATAATGGATGGCGATATCAACTCCAAACCACTGGTTCAGGTGTTGGACATCAAGCTCATTAATTCTAACCAGGAACGGTACCGTATTCTCTTATCCGACGCCGTTTCGACTCAGCAGGCGATGATTGCGACTCAGCTTAACGGCCGTGTTAAGTCTGGTGAAGTTCGTAAAGGTTCCGTCATTCAATTGATTGAGTACATTTGTAGCGCCGTCCAAAATCGCAAGTATGTTTTTGATTAATTTTCTCAGAAATTTTAATGGCGTTATATTTCAATGGTTATTAGTAGTAATTTTGTGAAAATGATGTGATTATGCATAATTTGATGTTATTTTGGTATATTTTACTGAAAATGGCGCTTTAGTTGTAATTTTGGTTAGCATTGAGGTATTCAATAGCTTGCAAAGAGGTATAGTTCTGGAATTTGTGTTTTATGATGTTAACTTTTGGAGATTTGGAGCTGAAGAATTTTGGTAAGTGATTATTGTTTTAACCGGATTGTTGGAGAAGAGTGAAGTAACTGTTTGTCGATTTGGAGAGGTAATGAGATACGAGGTAATAAGGTTGAAGGTGTTGCTTGTGATACATTGGTGATATTGAGTCGGAGTTGTGGTCGACGGATAAATGTGTTTTGATTGGTGTCTTTCTGTCCTAAAGAACGAGAGAAAACGAGAGAGGGAGATGGAGATGGAGGGGAAGAGTGTGTTTCTGTTTTTTGTATATGCATATGATTTCTATAATCATTGTGTAATCTTGATGGTGTTGATATAAGTGTGCAAAATGCTTGCGGAGGAGAATAACACAGGTCAATAAGTTATGCTAATGATGTGACGTTTTGCATCCTGTAGGAGATAATTTGTTGTGTAATTATTCGGTTATTCCTCTGTAGTGTCATAGAGAATGTCAGTTTCGGTTTTGGAATTGAAAGTTAAGGCAATGCATATTGCATAAGCTTCGTAAGTATCCTTGGGCATTTCATTAAGCAGTTATGGAGTTCTATTGGTAGAGCTTGTGTGTGTAGTTGAATCAGAGTAATTTTAGTAATTCACAATTTCACACATCCTGTTAATATTGCACAAAATTTCTGATACTTTTAAAGCAGACCTAACGAAATTGGTGGCATTCTTTTCATTGCTGTTGGCTTATGTAGTGATTTTATCAGAAGAACATGAGTGATAGAAGTTTGAACACTTTACGGCATCCTTGACAAGTTGACAATTTAATTCACTGTGATTTACAATACTTGGGCATGCTTCATGTTGTCTGAGATTTCTGATACTTTTAGGCAGACCCAAATAAAATAGTGGCGTTCTTTTTATTGCTGTTGGCTTATCTAGTGATTTAATCAGAAGAACATGAGTAGTAATTGAACTTTACTAGCGTCCTTGACAATTTAATTCACTGTGATTTACAATACGGCCCTGTTTGGTTTGATGTAAAAGGTTTTCATGGAAAATGACTTTTCCATTTTTTTTCCATTTTCCTTTGTTTGGTTTCTTAAAGGGTGGAAAACAATTTTTCCAAGGGTGGAAAATTCATCCTTAATGATGGAAAACATTTTCCTTCCCAAAACAAGGGAAGCCACATTTTCCTCTCTCTCCCTTACCTCCTTTTTTACTTCCCTCTCATTCATCCTTACATTTTCACTCTTAGTTTTTATTTTTTTTTGGATATTTCTTGTATGCAACCAAACAAAGGAAAACTAATTTGCAATTGTGTTTTTCCTTGAAAATATGTTTTTCATGAAAACTAATTTTCCATTGAAAATGTTTTACATTAAACCAAACGGGGCCTACGTGTGCATGCTTCTTGTTGGGTAAGAACTTATAAGGGCCATATTTTCTGCAGGATTATTGTCGTATTGAACATGGAAACTATTATTCCTGATTGTGGTATAATAGGGAACCCAGTGATGCCCTCTGGAGCTGATTCTTCTGTTGGAAATGCATTGCCTAATAATAATGTTGCTAATCCTGTCAGAGGAAGCAATACAAACGTGGCCACACTAAGTAACAATAACAATGCACAAAACTTCCGACCGACTATTCAGCCTGCATACCAGCCACCCCCTAATTATAAAAATCATGGCCCTGTTGTGAAGAATGAGGCACCAGCACGTATACTACCAATTGCTGCATTAAATCCTTATCAAGGGCGTTGGGCTATTAAAGCAAGAGTCACAGCTAAAGGAGATCTTCGCCGTTATAACAATGCTAAAGGTGATGGGAAGGTGTTTTCCTTTGATCTCCTTGATTCAGACGGGAGTGAGATTCGTGTTACATGCTTTAATGCAGTTGTTGACCGCTTTTATGATGTTATTGAGGTTGGGAAGGTTTATATGATCTCAAAGGGTACCTTAAAACCTGCACAAAAGAACTTCAATCATCTGAAGAATGAGTGGGAGATTTTTCTGGAAGCAACTTCTACTGTTGATCTTTGCCCAGATGAAGATGTTTCCATACCCAAACAACAGTTTAACTTCCGACCTATTAGCGAAATTGAGGGTGCAGAAAACAATTCCATTTTAGACATTATTGGTGTTGTGATATCTGTTAATCCTTCAGTCCCCATTATGAGGAAGAATGGGATGGAAACACAGAGAAGAAATTTAAATTTGAAAGACATGTCAGGCAGAAGCGTTGAGCTAACCCTATGGGGAGACTTCTGCAACCGAGAAGGTCAGGAGCTGCAAGAATTGGTTGATTCTGGGTACTTTCCCGTCTTAGCTGTGAAGGCTGCAAAGGTCAATGACTTCAGCGGAAAATCTGTTGGTACAATTTCTTCAACCCAGCTTTTTATTAACCCCGATATTCCTGAAGCTCAGCGTTTGAATGAGTGGTTTCATCGAGGGGGAAAGGATTGTGCTGCCCACTCTATCTCTAGAGATGTTATGCCTCTTGGAGGAAAGAATGAGGTTCGCAAAACCATTTTACAGATCAAGGATGAGGGTCTTGGAAGGTCAGAAAAGCCGGACTGGGTTACAGTTAAGGCAACATTATCATTTATAAAAACAGATAACTTTTGTTACACAGCCTGTCCATTGATGATTGGTGATAGACAGTGCAGTAAGAAAGTCACAAAGTCGGGAAACACAAGATGGGTATGTGATCGATGCAATCAAGAATTTGAGGAGTGTGATTATCGCTATTTGCTACAAGCACAAATACAGGATCATTCAGGCGTGACCTGGGTAACTGCTTTTCAAGAAGCAGGGGAAGAAATCTTAGGCTGCTCTGCTAAAGAGCTGTACACTTTAAAATCCGAAGAGCAAGATGAAATGTTTGCTGAGGCTATTCGCAGTAAGATCTTTGTTCCATTCCTTTTCAAGCTTAAGATAAAAGAGGAAACTTTTGGTGAAGAGCAGAGAGTAAAAACAACAGTAATTAGAGCTGATAGAGTGGACTTTGCAGCTGAAAGCAGGTTTTTGATTGATATGATCATGAAGCAACGCAGACGATGAATATCAAGTTGTTAAGAGTTCTGAATTTAATCTCTAGTGAAAAGTGAGACAATTTGCAACTGCTGATTCGATTCTGTTAGGTATTTTGTAGATGTTATATAAGCGGATTAAACTTGCCAGCATCTAGTTGTAAGAAACAGGTGCACTAGTGTAATAGAGAAGATCTACTTTAAATTTGTGTTGGTTAATTGTGGATATAGCGAGAATATGACTACAGACATTTATATGTATGCTTGTAGATGTTTGGTACATCTTTTTTCCCCCTGTACCCTCTCTTTACTCATTTATCAAAGCAAAAATGAATTGGATCATCGTGATTCCTACCCGATTCACTGCAGACAGAAAATTTCTATTTAGTTTAATGTTGCTTTCCTTGCTGAAATGATTTGTTTGTGTTTGTCTGTTGACAGAAAATTTCTATTTAGCATAATTGCTGATATGATTTGTTTGTGTTAGTCTGTTGATATGATATGTTTCGCTATCTGTACTACAGCAAGTATATTTCTATTGGGTATATTACAAACTTCTTATTTATTCCTGATCTTACCCCTTCTTTTTCTACGACATGGTATCCTGGGATTATTCGCGTGAATGGCCAGTCTAAGCTTAGCAATCAAATCAAGATTCCGTGTGTTCAGACTGTGCTCTCTTGCTGTGGCCAAAGCTTTGGCTTGACATAGTAATTCTTTCTTCATAAATACATGGATGATTTCAGGAAATTTTGTCATAATAACAGATGGTCAAATTTCCTTTTAAACTTCAAATTCTGTCAAGTAAATCTCAAGCAGTAATACAAACTACGAAGTACAAACCAAGGAGCTGAGCCATTATAAGCTCGGTCTGGACTTCAAAGCTAATCAAGCTGTCTCAAGCATAGTAAATTGAGGAGGAAATGCAGAAAATACATAGAGGCTAAAACCTAACCACGAAATTGGATTTGAAAATACTCAGCGTCTATATAAACATGCAACAAATATTTTGTATTACATTTGCACTATTTGCAGCACAAATTTTTACACTTATTCTTGAGTGATAAGAAGGAAGCTTCAAACAATCATATTTAACCCTTTTGTACAGAAAGTCACACTTGATTGTGCACCGTTAAACCTGTGAAAAAATCTGCAAGAAAAAACCAATCAGTCCGCCATAGGAAACAATGGAGAATCAGCATGCATAGTTCCAAGTATATAATGTCTTACAGTGCACACAGCCTGTAGATTCACCAGCAGAATGAGAGCACTGTAGAATGCAAGAAAACCATTAAACTTGTGTAATCAGATTTAGCCATCTAGGCATTGGAAGCAGATGCAGGCGACCCAACATAGGTTACACGAACATCCTGAGGCAGAAGGTGATATGTAATTCCTAATTCCTCGAAAGCTTTTTTCAATTCCAGAACAAGATCAGAAGCTCTGCTGTTTTTCTCTGCAATGTTCTGGAAGTTAATAGTGTGAGTTACAAAAAGAGCCATCTTAATCTTGTTCATGTCCACAATGTCGATCAACTGCACGCTATGACATGGTCTCCAGTGCTGTGGTTTACTTTCTATATACCTGATCAATCACAAAAGTATGCTGAAATGAGCAGTCATCTCAATGACAAAGACACAAGCGGAAAGAAGAACAAATTACAGAAAGCGTTAAACATAGATGCAACATGGCTTCAGCGTAATGTGGGTGTGTATCTGTCCTGTGCAAAAAGTTCTGACAACTTACGACTTAATTCTATCCTTCAGAGCAGCAATGGCCTCGACTGTAGTGGAGAAGTTAATTGCAAACTCCACTGAGTCATTCATTTCTGGGCTCCGATAGAAATTGCTGATAGGTTTGGTTGCTAAAACAGTATTTGGATAGGATATTTTTTCATTATCATATCTCAAGAAGATTGTGTTCAAAATGTTCATCTCTTCAACAACCATCTGTCAGAAAACATCAACTGATTAACAAATGAAAGAAATCTAGCTACAGAATGTAACATGATAAAATATTATGCATTTCTATGTTACCTGAACACCATCAATCACACAACGGTCACCTACATCGAATGGATGCATTACAAATACAAATATGATTGCCTCAAACACATTCTTGAAGGCATTGCCAAACATAAATGTAGCGAGCAAGAGCTGACTTGTAACAAACACAAGTATTTTGGTGGTCAAAAATCCCATCACAAGAGTCCACACAATAGCTATAACAATCAACACCACGCTTGAAGCTAAAATATTCAATTCATCCACAGCTGTTTTAGTATCATCTAATGAATGAGCAAGTGATTTACGCTCCATGTAAGCAGTAACCTGCAACCGGAAAATACTGTGTAAGATTATATCAATATTACTTGATCAAAACCTTTACAGCTTTATATAGCAGACTTTTTGTTGGACAAAAGAACAAAATTAACCAAATGTTCTCCAAATTCAGAGACTTACCACCCATTTCTCCAAGGCAGACTCCTTGATCTTTCCAGTTTCAATATATCCATCAATTAAAGGAAGTACTTGGTTTAATTCACCAATTTTTAAGAAACGCAAGAGATCTTCCTCTTCAATATACCTAGTTACACAAAATGATAAAACATTTATTTAGAGTGACTTTACCAAGGTACTATATTATTATACTCAAAAACCGCCATAAGGTGATAATCTTACTCATAACCAGGTTTTGCAACATTGTTGAAGATTTTGGAAGCAGCAAATTTTGCTCGCCATTCACTCTTGATCTCTTTACTTAGCTCACCGATGCCATCAACTTCACCCAAGTCAAGGAAACCGGAACTAATAGACAGCTTTGTTCTCCTTACGAGTTTGATAAATCTTTTCATGTCCAATGCAGTGACATTTTCTTGGTTTAGTTGTTGAAGCTTCTCCACATTAATAACCTCTTCTGTTAACCCTTTATTATTTGTCCTTCGCTCTAAACTCAGCTGACTTAAATTTCTTGATCTGGTTACTCTTGCTCCCTTCTCCATGATTGGAGGACCAGAAAGCATTTGAAGCACATATTGATGGAATATCGATTTTTTGATTCGATCAAAGAACCTCTTGACATGGAAAGATAAAGCTAAGGTCTTGATTAATGTAGTCTTCACTAGCCACATTACCGCCCCTAATAAATTCCCGGCTATAGCTTTTGTAATGTAATGTAATACTATGGTGGCTTCTTTTGATCTGTTGCTCCCACGAATAAACAACAAAATCCACGCGAGAAGAACTGAGCTCAGCCAAAGGAAAACTTGTACACTTCTCTTCAATCCATTGGCATAATAGGGAATTTTCTTCTTGAAAAGAAGTTTTCGTTCCACCAAGTTAACAATAGCATTGATGAAATATTTTGCTATCAATCGACCACTAAACATCATTGTAAAAAGAACACACCACTTCCAAAGTTCTAAACTCCATACTGTGGTATTTTGCAAATTGTAGTCTATTAAACTAGCAATCAGCATACACATCAAGCAAACAAATACAATCCACTCCACGAAAACAAACCAACGAAATTGGTGATTCCCTTGCTTGTCAATGGACTTGTAAACATCCTCATTATTTACTTCATCTTTTCCATAGGCATTTAATGGTGAACTTTGGAAAACCGAAGTAGCATTTGGAATAGCCATACTAACTCTAGGATAAACCTGTGCCGGATTTGTATAAGGTCTGTTTGAACCCACCATATAAGTACTTTGATCAGCCAAAACTTCATCACCGGGATAAGGTGGCTCAAAGAACCTAGATTTGGAATTTGATAAGGCTGATCTAGCTAGAGCAGCACGTCTCCTGGTACGTTCATTTGGAAGTACAGGTTCAAACATGGGATTTACTATAGTAACTTCAGGATACATTTCAGTATGTATTTGAGGGATAATTTCCCCTGCTTTGGCAACTCTGCCAGTCACTTCCCTTTACTTTGTCGGATACTACTTTCTAAGCAAGAACGGATACTACAAGCCTACAACATCGACGAGAGCTGCTTTCAAAAGAACTCAATCACAAGTGCCACCAACAGCAACAATTTGGTGAAGATTCCACAAGCAGCAGGATTAGATGTACACAACCTTATCCCTACAAAAACACGAGGGCACTTTACAGAAATTTCAAACTACTACAATAGCAATAATCCATAGTCTATTACCGCGTATAATATTTATAACTTTGGTTGGTTTTTATATCAGGAGTTCGAGATGTACACAACCTTACTCCTACTAGCTCAGTTTCATCAAAGAATCATCAAACAAAATGATATAAATACACGAAGTAAGTCCAAGTAACTAACTCAAACCCAAATAAGCTTTAAGAAACAAGATAATATCTATCATGCAATATTTCCACAGACATCTAATACATAAACTTAACAGGGAATATTAAGCACAAAAGACAGAAATTACCTTTTAGCTAACATAAGCAGACAGATAGATGTCAGACCTCGAAACTCTCGATTTGCAGCTGCAGTTCCATAATCCCAACAAACATTAAATGGGATTGGATTGCAAGTTACAGTACAACTTTTTTAAAGCAACTAACTATCTGCATTGACTGAAGAAGTCAATAAGTTGTGTAATTTTTAAATAATCTCAATTTGGCGGGTGGTGAGTTTAATAGTATGAGTAGGTAAGAAGGTAATTGTGGCTTAAATTACAAAAGATTTATTCAAATATTCAATTCTATTTATGAATGTATACAGTGGCGGATCCAGGATTTCCGAGATAGTGTGACACCATCAATTATTGATCATTTGTGAAAGTACAATTTTTTTTTTCCATGTCTTGTTCATAATTAATTTCAATCCAAAAATTATATATATATATATATATATATATATATATATATATATATATATATATATATATATATATTTCACCAAATTGATTTCAATCCAAAAATAGGACACAAAAATTCATACCACAACCAAATACAGTACTTAAGAATTCAATTTTACAAGTCGAAAATAGTACAAATAACATGTTATAAACAAATGGTACAATAAAATTATTATATTGAATTAACTTTATGATTTTTAGTTAATTGATAAGCTTTATGGGGAAATATTAAAATTGGTTGTACAAATATAAGATATAAAAAGGGAAAAAAAATGATTAAAAAATTATACAAAAAAAAGTGAGATAACTTAAGAGACCAGTTATTAAATATAACTGGTCTCTTTAATGACAAAAAGAAAGTAGCGCAAAAAAATTGCGAAATGCAATAGCAGCATCAAAGAGACCTCTTATATAAATAACAGGTCTCTTTAATATTTAAAAGCTAGCAGCATCAAAGAGCTCCTATCTTAATAAGAGGTCTCTTTGATATTGTTTG